TTTCTAGAAGCTTTAGGTTTCGAAAGAATTATGAACTTCAAGTTCATGTGTTCCTGCAGACAACGACAAATATATATACGGAAATATGCAACAAGAAAATATGCAAATAGATCTTTAGTTCTAGAATTATAATTGAATTAATTATTTGGACTTCGAACCAAGATGAAAGTGTGGGTGAAAAATTATAAAACCCAAATTGTCTAAAAAAAAATAAACAATAAACAATTAAGCTCAGGACCCAAAAAACAAGGACCAAAGCCCACGGGTGGGTTGAGCAGATTTGGATCGTGCAGCCCATGCCCAAAAATTGGGTTGGGTATAAGATGGGTCTAAGCATAAAAAAGTTGCAGGCTTTATGGACTTCAGGAGGTAGGCTCAATATTAGGCAGGAGTCTTCTACTTCGCATCGTGTGTGTACCTAGAGATGCGTTCTGGTGCATCACGGTACATGAAAGCACCACACCCATTTAGAGTTGTGATCAGGTGCATCGCAGACAGGTAGGACACCATAGCCCTCGGGCTGGCTGGTATCACGTTTGGGCCAAGCCAATGGCTTGGACAGTTGCAGGCAAGCCTTAAAAAGAAAAAAAAAATCTCAGGTTGAGAAAACCAAAGCCCAATTAGGCTCGGGTTTGAACCAAAAAACACCCAAGCTTCGCTAGGTGTGGTCACTGGGACAAAGGCAGGCGCCGCCGCTTCAGGCGACCGTGTTTTGGAAAAAAAATTCTCAGGTAAAGTTCGTGAATCAACATGGATCACGAATATGTAGGAGATAGAAAAAATCTCAACGTTTCAACAAAAAAAAACCCAAGAAATTCAAATCAGAATTTTGAAAAAATTCGACGAGATTCAAAGACGCCGGTGGACGAGCTTCAGGCCGTTGGACGCCAACCCAAGGTCAAGGTTGGCCTTCAGGCTTACCTGTGATGGTGGAGACACCATGGAAGGCGTCAGGTTTTTTCTAGGTTTCAAACTAAGAGCCCATAGGCTCCGGGCTTCATGGTCTTGCAGCTCAACTCAGCCACACAAGCTGCAAGCCTGGTGCTGGTGGCTCGACGTGGCGCGACTTGGAAACCAATGGCTCATGGTGTGGGATGGTGATGGGATAGGTTTTGATAAACCCTAATTTAAATTTTTTTTCTTAATCTCCAGATTATAAATTAATTCAATTGCATGCATATTCAACATATAATTCAATGCATGAGCAGATATTTGTTGTAATTTATGGCAATATCAATTCACATAATTCAACAATTATGGATATAATGCATACACGATTTATGTAAAATCTAAAATTCGAAAAACATAAAGTTTGGTCATGCATTATGGTGAATGTTAATGCTATCAAAGTTGCAAAAATATCGAGATAAAAAATGTTGTTTAGGGGAAGCCTAATTGCGTGATGATATTGATGAACTGGCTTGATGCAGAAAACTTCCACGTCAGATAAAAAATGGCGCACTGTAGATAGAGAGAGAGTAAAGAGAGGGATGTGTTTGTAGGATTGTGTAGAAGATGTGTTATTCCCCCATTGTTTTTTTATATAACATGTACCTATTTTTTATTAAAAAAAAAGTATCACTTTTTTTGGATAAAATGTGACATCCCACATCGCCCAGGGGAGTGATCCTTATATGTATATTCCCATCCCTACCTAGCACGAGGCTTTTTGGGAGCTCACTGGTTTCGGGTTCCATGGGAACTCCGAAGTTAAGCGAGAAGGGGGCTAGAGCAATCCCATGATGGGTGACCCACTGGGAAGTTGCTTGTGAGTTCTCAAAAACAAAACCGTGAGGGAATCGTAAACCCAAAGAGGACAATATCGTGCTACGGTGGTAGAGCGGGCCTGGGATGTGGTGGACCCTGGGCCAGGACGTGACAATTTGGTATCAAAGCCTAACCCTGGCCGTGGTGTGCCGACGAGGACGTCGGGCCCCTAAGGGGGGTGGATTGTGACATCCCATATCGCCCAGGAGAGTGATCTTTATATGTATATTCCCATCCCTACCTAGCACGAGGCCTTTTGGGAGCTCACTGGCTTCGGGTTTTATGGGAACTCCGAAGTTAAGCGAGAAGGGGGCTAGAGCAATCCCATAATGGGTGACCCACTGGGAAGTTGCTCGTGGGTTCTCAAAAACAAAGCCGTGAAGGAATGGTAAGCCCAAAGCGGACAATATTGTGCTATGTGGTGGAGCAGGCCTAGGATGTGGTGGACCTCGGGGCGGGATGTGACATAAAATGTACCAACTTTTTTTATGTAAAATGTCAATATTATAATTAATGACAAATCATGGGTTGTTTTTAAGTATAATTTATTTTTTAATATTTTCAACCAATTATGGAATTTATTTAAAATCTCATTAATATAAATAAGTACAAATATTAAATTTTAATTTAAAAATTATAATAACCTACATAGAAATGCATTATTGCATTAAGGGGTGTGCTATCCACACATCCCATTTTACTTCTCACACACCCCTTGATAATTTATGTTTGTTGAACTTCTTTAATTCATCCAATCTGACGGTCGAAAATTAAAAGGGTGTGTGAGAAGGGGTGTGGGGATATCACACCCCTTGCATTAATTTTAGGGTCTTCAATAAAAACTAAAAACCAACAAGATTTTAATCAAGAACATTATAAATAGGAACCGTATCTAAAGTCACCCAAAAATTTAATAGATAAGTTTCAATTAAAGGCAATTTTATTTTCATTCTGGTTTGGTCAAAAAATTTTAAATTCCTTCAAACAAGATTACACAATTAAAAGCCGCGCAAAAACTAAAGAAAAATTCTTTGATGTCAGCCCCTGCTTTGGCTATGGGGTTGGTGGTAATTTTCTTGAACATCATTCTTGGTCTCTTCCCTCCCCCTTTTTGTTTACTTTGCTTGGTGGAGAATTGTTGCCATGAAATGTTGTAGTGGTCGTGATAGTCATTGTGTTTTGGTTCACACACAGAGTAAATACAAGGTTTGGATCTAGTTATCACCCTAAAGCTGGCATGGAAGATGTCAAGATTGGGTTTAGCTTGAACGACACTATGGGTTTAGACGGTGCAGTGATATGGCTCTCGGATGTACGGAGGATGTGGAGTAGCGACATTATTTTATCCTTTTATTTTGTTTCTATCTAATCATTTCTAGGAATTGTCTTGGAGTTTGATTTTTAGGATTTCCTTAAGAATTGGTGTTTCAATATCTTTTAAGAAATTATATCTAATTAAGGAATTAACGTGGCTCTTCAATGGTTGAGGAAGAGTTCCTCATCAATTCACTACGTGGCCGATTCACAAAATTTCATGTTTTAATTGGAACCTGCTCATATTATAAATGACTATGGAAAGATCATTTTTGTAAAAAATAATGAAATATGAGAACGTTTAGTTATTGAACTATGTAAAACTAGATGGATGGATTCGGTAAAAAATATTAGGGTAAAGTACAAAAAACTACCTCAACTATTGGTGTCACGACACTTTCATACCTCATCTTTTAAAATTGACAATGTCATACCTCATCTTACGAATTTGTGCCAATGTCAAACCTCCGTCAGTTTTTTTGTTAATTTCTCTGTTAAATGCTGACATGGCCCAGCACGTGTCCCACTCACTAATCCAATTGGATTAAGAAATAATTAAATATATTTTTAATAATTAAATATTCAAAAATTAAATATATATATATATATATATATATTAAATCTCTCTCACTCTCTCCTCTCTCTCTCCCTCCTTTCTCGCCTCTCTTTCTTCTCTGCAACCCAAAACCCCTTCCCACCCGTCCTCCACCACCATCTCTCTCCCCTCTCTCTCTCTCCCCCTTTCTCACCTCTCTCTCTTCTCTGCATCCTAAAAGACCCAGACCCTGGAGGAACAAAACCCACCTTCCTATTGCAGAAATTGTTGCCGTAATTCGAAAACCCCAAAACGAAGAACCCAATATTGCTCGACTACTCTACCTCCCTCACTCCGCCACCCTCGATCTGGAGATCGCAACTACGGCGTTCCACGACTACTTCGCCTCCCTCACTTTGCCATCCTCGATCTGCACCTGGACGCCCAAAACGACAGTGTCGACCTGAACTCGGACTAGGAACCGGTCTGATTTGCGACGAAGTCCGAGTCTATGGGGTAGTGGGGGGGGGGGACACGGGTCAATGGGCAAGAGTTTGGGGGGACGGGTCAATGGGCAAGAGTTCGGCGGATGAAAAAACCCAGGTGGATTTGGGCGGTTCTGGGCACGGCGAGAGAGAGAAGTGGGGAGGAAGGAGACTACGGTGGAGAGGAGAGGGAGAGGCGAGAGAGAGGGGAGAGAAAGAGTGGTGGAAGACGGGTGGGAAGGGGTCCCGGGGGGGGGGGGGTCGGGTGGGAAGGGGTTTTGGGTTTTCTGGGATGCAGAGAAGAGAGAAAGGCAAGAAAGGGTGGGCGAGAGAGGAGAGAGAGATTTAATAAATATTTTTTTAATTTTTGAATATTTAATTATTTTTTAATCCATTTGGATTAGTGAGTGGGACACGTGTTATGCCATGTCAGCATTTAACAGAGAAATTAACAGAACAACTGACGGAGGTCTGACATTGGCACAAATTCGTAAGATGAGGTATGACATTGTCAATTTTAAAAGATAAGGTATGAAAGTGTCGTGACATCAATAGTTGAGGTAATTGTGATCTTTAAAAGATGAGGGAGGTGGAGTAGTCGGGCAATATTGGGTTCTTCATTTTTATTCTGCCACCCTCCATTTTTTTCCTACCACTTGAACCATTGATCTATTTACTACAATTGATTGACTACACAATATTACTTTAATTGATTTTTTACCAAGCTAATCTTTATAGAGTAAATTATAATACAAACAATTCTGATCAGACAAGCTGGGCGCATACGGTTTATAAAACAGAGTGGAAATGACCAAGTGGTAGGAAAAAAAATGGAGTTCCTAAAAATAAAATAAAATAGGAGTTAGAGGGTAAAATGGTAATTACCAAAAAATAAAACAGACCCCTTCGCGCTCCCGCAACGTCAAAAGCTATGGAAGCATTCCTTCCGAAGCTCTCATTCTTCTAGTACCATATCCATAAGCTGAAACTGATTGTACAAGGAATCGAAGGCTCACACACATCCACGTTTTCCGGCGGTTTTTCATGATTCCGGCCAATTCCGACCACCCCCGACATCAAGAGCGATGTAGATTCGTCAAGCTTGGGTAGTAGGATTGAAGGTGGAGTTCTATATGGAGTTGAAGATGTGAGTATTTGTCGTTGCCTTTTGCTTTTTTGTTTCTTGTTTCATGGCATAACAGATACATTCCGCTTGATTCTCTTCTAGCTGGCCATGCAATGTAAAACAGTAAGAGTAGCAATGGTTTTGCATGAACTGGCCCAAAAGCCCCCTCACAGACTCCTTGCCGAAAAATTCATCGCACTCTTGCAGTCCTGTAAGGCCATGAAGCAACTTCACCAAATTCAGACCCAGATAATCTCCCACGGTTTCTCACACAACGAGTACATTGCACCGAAAATTGTCTCAGCATGCGCCGAACTGAAGCAAATGGCGTATGCCCACAAGGTGTTTGATGAAATACCTGACCCAAATGTTGCTCTATGGAACGCAATGTTCAGAGGGTATGGGAAGAATGAGAATCATGGAGAAGTTATAGTATTGTTTTGCAGAATGAAGAGCATGGATATATTGCCCAATTGCTTCACATTCCCTGTCGTGATTAAATCTTGCGGAAAAATGAAACGGCCGATAGAAGGTGAGATGGTGCATTGTGTAGTGATAAAATGTGGGTTTGGAGCAAACTCATATGTGGGAACGACACTGATTGAAATGTATGCGGCTGGGGGACTGATTGGAGCTGCTTACAAGGTGTTTGGTGAAATGTTTGAGAGGAATGTGGTTGCGTGGACTTCCATGATTAATGGGTACATTTTGTGTGGTGATATGGTTTCTGCTCAGCGCCTTTTTGATTTGGCTCCGGAACGTGATATTGTGTTGTGGAACACTATGATTTCAGGTTACATTGAGCTGGGTGATATGGTGGCGGCTAGAAAACTTTTTGATGAAATGCCGAGACAAGATGTTATGTGTTGGAATACGGTTTTGAATGGTTATGCAAGTAATGGGGACATTGAGGCTTGTGAGAGGTTGTTTGAAGAGATGCCTGAGAGGAATGTTTTCTCTTGGAATGGGTTGATTGGAGGGTATGCGCGTAATGGACAGTTCTTTGAAACTCTGGGATCTTTCAAGCGGATGCTAAGTGAGAGTGATTTGCTTCCTAATGATGCCACCTTAGTGACTGTTTTGTCAGCCTGTGCAAGACTAGGAGCTCTTGATTTGGGTAAGTGGCTACATGTATACGCAAAGAGCATCGGGTACAAACGAAATGTCTATGTTGGGAATGCTTTAATTGACATGTATGCAAAATGTGGGATTATTGATAATGCACTAGATGTGTTCACGAGCATGGATAAGAAAGATTTAATCAGTTGGAACACAATCATTTGTGGCTTGGCAATGCACGGTCGTGGAGCTGATGCCTTAAATTTGTTTAGCCTGATGAAGAATTGTGGAGGAAAGCCAGATGCCATCACCTTCGTAGGCATTTTGTGCTCTTGTACGCATCTTGGATTAGTCGAAGATGGCCTTTTGTATTTCCAGTCAATGGTTGATGACTATTCCATTGTGCCTCAGATTGAGCATTATGGCTGTATGGTTGATCTGCTTGGACGCTCTGGTCTTTTGGACCAGGCTATGAACTTTGTGAGGAAGATGCCAATGGAAGCAGATGCTGTTATTTGGGCTGCCTTACTTGGTGCATGTCGGATTTACAAGAAAATTGACTTGGCAGAGTTGGCACTTGAAAGGCTCATCGAACTCGAACCAAAAAACCCTGCAAATTATGTCATGCTTTCAAATATATATGGTGATCTTGGGAGGTGGAAAGATGTTGCAAGATTAAAAGTTTCAATGAGGGATACAGGACATAAAAAATTCCCTGGTGTTAGCCTTATAGAGGTGAATGATGGTGTGGTTGAGTTTTATTCCTTGGATAAGAGACATCCTGAGACTGAGGAAATATATGGTGCCTTGATGGGCTTGACGAAACTGCTAAGATCATCTGGATATGTACCAAACATTCTGGAGCTTGGGCAGGGAGCCTACCACAACTGAGGTATTATGTCTTAATTTATGTGGAGGAACTACTTTTTGTCATTGGCAGTTGTTAGCTTAGAAGAAATTAAATCATCGAAAATTACTTGAAGTGGCACAATGCTGACAGCAATTTGTAATTTTGTAGAGAGGGTCAATCAGCCTGCTAACTAGCTATGCGGAGGACCCAGAGGTGACTGTCCGTGGTGACCTTTTTAGAGTATGGTCACCATGCAAGGAAGTTAGAGGCAATAACAGGTCTGGGGTGCAATTTTTCTTTTGCTTGCATTGCTCACCATGTCTTGGAGACAGGCTAAAGCCGTAAATTGGCCAACCTACTGGATAGGCTTGAACTAAAATGTGGGGCGAGTTTGACCCTAAATATAAGCGGGTTAAACTGGACCAGACTCATTTACGAAGTCGGGCATTCGGTAGCTGATTGGGCTACAATCTACCGGTCAAGCCAAACCCCAATGGGTAATAACGAGTAACAAAATATTTTTAGGTACTTGGACACCCTTTTTCTGCCAGTTTATAGATGTATAGATTTGTGATTGAACAGTTAATTGGTGTCTAGAAATAGAGGCACTCTTAAATTGAAAAGCCTTTTTTCCATTTGACACTTGTAGGTTCCATTTCAACGGCACTTCAAATGAAAACCTAGGTTGTTGCCAAATATGTCAATATAAACGTTAAACCAAACTCATCTTCTGAACTCCATAAACCAACATTTACATGCTTTGTACGTATTGTGTTCACCTCTAAACAATGACTTAATGATCTAGTCATCTCTAAATAAAACAAAGGAGAATGTTTAGTCATGGTAAGTACAGCGGTTATTAGTCTTAGATGTCTAGATGACCAATAAATGCAATGTTATCAAGTGATTAAGCCAAGCGGAGGATATACTCTAAGAAAGTTTGTGTAATAAAAAAGGCCTAATCCACATCGTTCACGGAATAAAATTAGTATAACTGGGTCACGAATTTGCATTTGCATTTCTTGTTTCATAATCTGGTTTATCTGCTCTTTTGTCATGCATGTGGATTTATTAGTGAAGTAATTTGATGGGTGTGATTTGGACTTAATGACTAGTTGGCTTTTAGTTCTGGTCAAGTTGTGCCTGCCTCGCAGTAGTAGTCTACTGTCGTTTAATGATGTGCTATGGCACATATTGTTTTTGGCACAGATCATATCTTGACACTTCATTTATGCAGTAGGAATACATGTTTTTCATTTTTTCAAATGTGAACACAGATCTCTGATCTTCAATGTTTAGGAAGTAGACACATCATCTTATATACCAAACTGGACAGATGCAATTTTTTGAGTAGATCAGATCACAGAATGTGTAGAATGACCTTCTACAATGTGTGAGGAAGGAGGAAAGTCTTTGGTTGCACACCACTATGCAAGTTTTTCTCGTGAGGAAGCAAGTAATACGACTTTGCATGCACATAAAGACTAGCATTTAATTATTTTACAAGAGAAATAGAAGTGTTGATACATATTTTTGGCCAGATCTTTCTTAAAAAATGCTGTACATTCTTAGACTTATGTTTTGGGTTTTAGTCAAATTAGGGGTCAGTGAGCTCATATTTTCTCAGTAGCCGTTCACTCAGCTATTCCAGAGGTTTGTGCAGTTTGGGTTTGATATCTTAGCCAGGGTGAGTTTGTCCATCTTTTGGAATTATTCTTGGTCCAAACATATGGTTGGCTTGGAAAAACTTGGTCTAATATTGGATTCATGGATAAATATTGAAAATCCAGCAGTGACTTGATACGAGTTGTATCATCCTATATCTTTTTTACTCTCTTTCATCTAGTCTTGTGTTCATCTCTCTGTAGTCAACACTCAACGTTTAGTCCTAAATTCCGACTTAGAAAATTACTGATTGAAACGTTTGAATCTTGTTTCTTGATTAGCCTACCAGCCATGATCAGCAAGTAAATTGCAACCTTGTTGCTCATTGTTCAGACAAGTAAACGGTATCAGTTCATTGTTCTTATATGTATATTACTAGAGCCATTGTCTCTTTGGTAATGGATGTCTCTTTTAGCTTTTACCATTTAGGTGGGTGATAGTGTTTTATTGAGTATATTTGAAATCATGCTTCAACCTGCATTAATCACACATTTATTGCAGCATTTGAGTAGATTCTTATGCTTAAGGGCAAAATGAGAAGTTCCGGAATACCTTTTCCTGGCAATGAAGGTGGAGTCGTGCTTGACAAGCAATAAAGAAGGTATCAATGTCAATCTTATGCTTTGTGCTGGTCTATCGGTTTTGATCTTTTTAAAGTAGTAAGTTGTAATGTGTGGATCTAGGAAGTCGCAAGCCTGTATATTGTTCTACTCAACCATTAATATTTAAGGAAAACTAATGAAAATGGCTTGAAAACTTTGAGTTTTAACGACAAGGACAAAAGGTGTTGTAAGTGAATAGTACCAGGATTGACTTTTTAGAATACAAATGTGGTTTTTCAGTAAAGTGAACAATACCAGGAGTTTTTCGTTAAAGTTTCCTAATATTTAAGCAGGACGCACCAACTTTATCAATTTTCTTCTGACCTTCCGATTTTTCATTTTATATGCGAAACTGTTAGTATTTGCACTGGGAAACTTCACATTACCACTCTCCCCAAATTACAGGTTTTGAAGGGTACAAAGAAGGCAGGTTTCGATTAGGTCTTGCTCTGAAACAATGGACAAGGTTTTTATATTGGAGGGGAGCACATGACCATACAACGCGTCTTTGACAGTTTTGGACAAAGCCGTTTGTGTCGATTGGAATTTTTCTTTCCTCATGTTTCAGGTACTTAAAAACTGACATCGTTTCCCAATTTTGCATGCACACAAGTTGTTTATAAATGCATGTTAACGTGAATAATGAACTGTTTCCATACTACATTTATCGTCCTTCAATCGGAGATTTTTTTTGTCTCCCTGTCTCTTTCATCTCCTAAACAAGCGTGAACGCAGCAACTTTCAAGTTTCCTCCTAAATCAAGGTTTTTGAATCATTAATACTCGAACAAAGACATTAACACTCGGGTGTGTTTTGCCGTTATCTATGTATGGGGTTTTCCTCCTTTGCAATTCAGATTACGAAATTCGCTCCGAATATTGTTTTGCAATTGTACTTTCACGCAACTGGTTTAATTTTTTTCAAAAATGGAAAACTCGATTGGTAACTACTTTTAGTTTTTAGTTTAAAACCGAAATAAAAAATAAAAATAAAACTAAAAGTAGTAAACCAAAATTTCTTTTAAAGTTTTTTGTTGTTGTTGTTGTTGTTGTTGTTTTGTATTGTTTTTTTTTTTTTTTTTTTGAAAACTTGAAGTTTTTGAACAAACAAGTATGAAGTTTTTCAAATGTTCAGAAAAGTAGAAACTAAAAATTGGAAACGAAGTAGTTATCAAAAAAGTTCTTAAAGACATAAATACTCGTATTCGTCTACTAATCATGATACATAATTAGTCCTGTCAATTCGAAGCCAATAGCCTTATGAGCCTAGTCTAGGTTGAACACACTGGTCAGAGCGTCTTCTTCCAGCACTAGGTTTCATAGACTCCATCTTCAACGGTCTCCTCTATTTTCTCTCTCATTTTCCTGTCTAAGCTTGGAAGGGAATTGTCCTGCCTCGCTCCCGAGATATGCTAGGGATTGCACATGGTAGCTGAAAGTAGCGATACCATAATACATAAAAGTTAATTGGGGCTCATACATAATACATCAGATAATCATTGAAAATGAAATCACAAAGAAAAGGGAAACAAACCCTAGTCACTAGTGCACTGCACACACCTACACCCATGAGAACTTCTCTAACAACTTTGCAAAACAACCCTGCACCGAGGAATAGCGCATTCGACAAAGCAAAATCCGGATAAGATGTGAAACTCGTGTGAATGACTATAATACAACATATGTGATTTAAACCATATTTCACAAGCCTTTAAATATATAAAATAATAATCATCACTCATAAATCTCGATTGCATCCGCATATGCATCCAATCATCAATTTCATATATATATATATATATATATATAATGAAGTAACAGGTCTAGATCACATAGTTCCGCGTTCCAGAACCTTTTAGGGAATTCGACAAGATGTAGGGTTCCAAAACCTCTCATGGAACCAAACAAATGTAGCGTGATTGGCACTATTTATTTATAACGTAAATGTCGTAATATGGCTTGGCATAATGAATATTAATGAATTGCATTGACTCGGCATGATTATACAGACGTCCAACTTATTAAATTACTATTTTATTAGCCTTGTTTTGCACTTTCGTATGAATTTAAACTCGGCCTATGAAGCATTTGCAATAATTGAGCTTTGAGATACAATTGGACTTGTAGGTGAGAATTTTGGCCTCTTAACACATACTAAAGAAAAAGTATAGGACCACGTGTGAGATTAGCAACGCTCTTAACAAAACAACCATAACATCACATGCCACACAAATAAGTTATGTCCCTCTCTGAAATAAATAAAAAACTTAGTCCCTCTCCAGAATAGTCTTATAATTTGAATAAATGTGTAATTTATCCTATCAGAAGAAGAAGAAGAAGAAGTCATGTTGATCTTTACCGAACTCGGTTTGATAATTATAGTCCTGTCAATTCAGAGAAGAAGAAGAAGAATAGTCTCCTCCTTTTAGGGGGCCTGGAAAAGTCTATGGTAGACTTTGTATATGATATTGTTGGGTCGCAATGTCACGCGGTATGCAATTTACTCTCCTCCTTTAGGGACGACTACAAACGAAACGACTTGACTTGGCGGGTCATCTGTATTATAAAGCAACTAACAAGAGGGAAACTTCATACTGCAACCACAACTTTCTCAAGTCATGTTGATCACATCCTACTCAATGCCTTTTACGGTAGGCTTTGTCCTTGCCATGGCATTTGTTGTTGCTCAAGCACAACAAATGCAGTCGAATATCAGCCGCGGATCTTCCTTAACGCCGACTACCAACTCCTCGTGGTTGTCACGTTCTGGTGTATACGCCTTTGGATTTTACAAGCAAGGAAATGGCTATGCTGTGGGGATATTTCTTGCTGGAATCCCCCAAACAACTATAGTGTGGACTGCGAAGCGAGACGACTCTCCACTTCCCACCAATGTTACTTTGGACTTCACAAGTGATGGGTTTTCCTTGAAACCAACACCAGGCCAAAGTTTCATCATAGAGTATACCTCCGGTTCTTCGGCTTCCATGCTTGATTCGGGCAATTTTGTGATATACAATGCTCGTCAAGACATAGTATGGCAAAGTTTTGAGCACCCGACTGACACCCTTTTGCCGGGTCAGATCCTGTTTGCTGAGGACGAGCTGTTCTCTGCTAAATCAGAATCTGATCACTCAACTGGCATTTTCCGCCTCAAAATGCAAGCCGATGGAAACCTTGTCCAATACCCTGTAAATACTCCAGACACACGTGCATATGCCTACTATTCATCTAGAACGTCTTGGGGAGGAAAGAACGTGACACTTAATTTTGGTGCTGATGGCCATCTCTACTTGCTAAATGATACCCGTTCGAACATCAGGAATATAACGGATGGAGGTCTTCCTGCTGATCAAGCAACAATTTATCTTATGAGAATTGATGCAGATGGAATATTTCGATTGTATTCGCATGATTTGAATCACAACGGGAGCAAGTCAGTGGTATGGGAATCTTCCAACGACAAGTGTGACCCTAAAGGTGTATGCGGATTAAATCGTTATTGTGTCTTACAAGATCTTGAAGCTGAATGTATATGTCTTCCAGGATTTGTACCTGCCAATCAGAGAAATAAGACTTCAGACTGTAGGAGGATAGTTGCAGATGTTTGCGAATACAAAAACGAAACTTTCCCGAACACCATGGAAGAACTGCAACGCACAATATGGGAAGACAGTTCGTATGTGGATTTGCCATTATCAGGCAGAGAAGCTTGCAAACGAGCCTGTTTGGAGGACTGTAATTGTGAAGCCGCGATTTTCAATGGTACAAGCTGCAGAAAGCAGAGGCTTCCTTTGAGATATGGAAGAAGAGATGTTGATACTTCAAACGTAGCTCTCATCAAGGTAGCTACATCTACAACTACTCCAGATACAAATAGAATTGTGGACAAAGGAAGCAAGAGAAAAGGAAGAACGGACATCCTGATTATTAGTCTCTTGCTTGCTGCTTTCGGATCTATTTTGTTTGCAATTTCTGTAGTTGTGCTTTGCAAACATAATGTGTGGGGGTATAAAAGAGTGAATACTCCCATTCGTGACTCTGAATTCAACGAGGACATCACTCTGCGACCATATACTTATGAAGAGTTAGAGAAGATTACCAACAATTTTACAGAAGAGGTTGGAAGAGGCGCGTCGGGAACAGTTTATAAAGGAGTGATCTTGGCTAGCCAAAAGCCAGTTGCTGTCAAACGACTGGAGAAAGTTGCAGCTGAAGGCGAAAAAGAATTTCAGAATGAGCTGAAAGTCATTGGGAAAACCCATCACAAGAATTTAGTCCGTCTGCTGGGATACTGTCTTGATGGACCAAAAAGACTTTTGGTATACGAGTACATGAGCAATGGCTCACTTGCAGATGTACTCTTCGCACCTGACAGACAGCCTTGTTGGGAAGAAAGAATGAGAATTGCTTGCAACATAGCACGAGGATTTCTTTACCTCCATGAAGAGTGTGATACACAGATTATTCATTGTGACATAAAGCCCCAAAACATTCTGATGGATGAGTACATGTGCCCCAAAATATCAGATTTTGGATTGGCAAAGCTGCTTAAGGCAGACCAAACAAGAACCACAACTGGCATCAGAGGAACCAAGGGATATGTTGCACCAGAGTGGCATAGGAAAATGCCAATAACAGTTAAAGCTGATGTTTACAGCTTCGGAATTGTTTTGTTGGAGATCATATGTTGTCGAAGGAATGTGGATTGGAGTCTTCCAGAGGAGGAGGCTGTTTTGGATGAATTAGCCTACACCTGTTTTGAGAGTGGTGAGCTTGGAAAACTAGTGGGTGAACAAGAGGTCGACACAAGGCAATTTAAACGGATGATTAAAGTGGCACTTTGGTGCGTCCAGGATGAACCGTCGTTGCGTCCTTCTATGAAGAAGGTTTTACTCATGCTTGAAGGAACTGTAGAAATCCCAATCCCTCCCAGTCGTAACTCTATTCTCAGCACCATCTAAAGTCAAGTGAGTGATATGTACTTTAGTGATCAGAAAACTGATCAAACCTTACATTTAGTTTATGTAATAAAATTAATAAGCAACGTGGTGAGTTTCACCGCAAGCTTCGCTGTCTGTAAGTGTCTGTGTCGTCATGAATGATATGCTCTTAAAAACTATGAATTCGCATTACTGAATCTCAGAAGAATCGAGACTCTGTATATGTAGGGGTTCGTTTTTTGAAATCGTGTTTTTCTTCCGTGATAGGGGACAAATTCTTGATTTATTCATGCTGATTATTTTGAAGGATTTGTTCAATCCATAACTAAATCATTATAAGTATATCATGTTTTTCATCAATCCTTATTCAGGGAAATTGTAGAATGAATATGATTGAGATTGTCGCGTGACAACACAAACAGAGAAAATTGAATGAATCGAACTGAAAATCAGAAAGAAGATCACAACTTGAGACAATAAAACGTTCATTTCATTTCATTCCTTTGAAGAGATAGTACAACAATTTGACAATTCTCAATCAACTAGATATATTGATTATGAAACTGGTTTCCGAAACAAGAAACCCAAAGAATCTGCGTAAAAGAGTGCACTAACAAAGTCACCAATAAACAAAAACATTCATCATCAAACGATGGTCCTCCTCAGTGCTCCGGCAATCCATCGGAGAAGTTATCCCCTGGTAGTTCATCAAAGAAATTATCCCCCAACATTCCATTAACCAAATTAAGCCAAAGATGATTATTACCGGCCATGTCGCATAACAACTGGTCAAGGTCGGGAATTGGACCCAGCTCCTTGGGATGATCCTCCTCCTGCTTTTCAGGAACCACCTTCTTCGACTTGCGCTTCTTTTGACATCCTTGCTATTGTGGGGCTGCTTCATGTTTCCTCTTTTGACCGCGGCCGGGAGTTTGTGTTTTGGAGACGGTGATGCGCATAGGCTTTAGAGAAGGGGCATTGGGAGAACAGAGAGTAAGGACAACTGAACTGTAACTGTAAGTGTAAGTACCAACCCTGCTTCATGATCACACTTAAAGACTTAAAAGTGGGTCATTTTTGTTGCTGATTAATCAGTGTGTGTAACAATTAAAATCCTAAATAACATGATCACACTTCATTTATGCAGTAGGAATACATGTTTTTCATTTTTTCAAATGTGAACACAGATCTCTGATCTTCAATGTTTAGGAAGTAGACACATCATCTTATATACCAAACTGGACAGATGCAATTTTTTGAGTAGATCAAATCACAGAACCTTCTACAATGTGTGAGGAAGGAGGAAAGTCTTTGGTTGCACACCACTATGCAAGTTTTTCTCGTGAGGAAGCAAGTAATACGACTTTGCATGCACATAAAGCCTAGCATTTAATTATTTTACAAGAGAAATAGAAGTGTTGATATATATTTTTGGCCAGATCTTTCTTAAAAAATGCTGTAAATTCTTAGACTTATGTTTTGGGTTTTAGTCAAATTAGGGGTCAGTGAGCTCATATTTTCTCAGTAGCCGTTCACTCAGCTATTCCAGAGGTTTGTGCAGTTTGGGTTTGATATCTTAGCCAGGGTGAATTTGTCCGTCTTTTGGAATTATTCGTGGTCCAAACATATGGTTGGCTTGGAAAAACTTGGTCTAATATTGGATTCATGGATAAATATTGAAAATCCAGCAGTGACTTGATACGAGTTGTATCATCCTATATCTTTTTTATTCTCTTTCATCTAGTCTTGTGTTTTCATCTCTCTGTAATCATCACTCAACGTTTAGTCCTAAATTCCGACTTAGAAAATTACTGATTGAAACGTTTGAATCTTGTTTCTCAAGTAAATTGCAACCTCTTTGCTCATTGTTCAGACAAGTAAACGGTATCAGTTCATTGTTCTTATATGTATATTACTAGAGCCATTGTCTCTTTGGTAATGGATGTCTCTTTTAGCTTTTACCATTTAGGTGGGTGATAGTGTTTTATTGAGTATATTTGAAATCATGCATCAACCTGCATTAATCACACATTTATTGCAGCCTTTGAGTAGATTCTTATGCTTAAGGGCAAAATGAGAAGTTCCGGAATACCTTTTCCTGGCAATGAAGGTGGAGTCGTGCTTGACAAGCAATAAAGAAGGTATCAATGTCAATCTTATGCTTTGTGCTGGTCTATCGGTTTTGATCTTTTTAAAGTAGTAAATTGTAATGTGTGGATCTAGGAAGTCGCAAGCCTGTATATTGTTCTACTCAACCATTAATATTTAAGGAAAACTAATGAAAAGGGCTTGAAAACTTTGAGTTTTAACGACAAGGACAAAAGGTGTTGTAAGTGAATAGTACCAGGATTGAGTTTTTAGAGTACAAATGTGGTTTTTCGGTAAAGTGAACAATACTAGGAGTTTTTCGTTAAAGTTTCCTAATATTTAAGCGGGACGCACCAACTTTATCAATTTTCTTCTGACCTTCCGATTCCTCATTTTATATGCGAAACTGTTAGTATTTGCACTGGGAAACTTCACATTACCACTCTCCCCAAATTACAGGTTTTGAAGGGTACAAAGAAGGCAGGTTTCGATTAGGTACTTAAAAACTGACATCGTTTCCCAATTTTGCATGCACACAAGTTGTTTATAAATGCATGTTAACGTGAATAATGAACTGTTTCCATACTACATTTATCGTCCTTCAATCGGAGATTTGTTTTTTTCTCTCCCAGTCTCGTTCATCTCCTAAACAAGCGTGAACGCAGCAACTTTCAAGTTTCCTCCTAAATCAAGGTTATTGAATCATTAATACTCGAACAAAGACATTAACACTCGGGTGTGTTTTGCCGTTATCTATGTATGGGGTTTTCCCCCTTTGCAATTCAGATTACGAAATTCGCTCCGAATATTGTTTTGTGATTGTACTTTCACGCAACTGGTTTAATTTTTTTCGAAAATGGAAAACTCGATTGGTAACTACTTTCAGTTTTTAGTTTAAAACCGAAATAAAAAATAAAAAAAAAATTGAAAGTAGTAACCAAAATTTCCTTTAAAGGTTTTTTTTGTTTTTTTTTTTTTATTTGTTTGAAAACTTAAAGTTTTTGAACAAACAAGTATGAAGTTTTTCAAATTTTCAGAAAAGTAGAAACTAAAAATTGGAAACGAAGTAGTAATCAAAAGTTCTTAAAGTCATAAATACTCGTATTCATTTACTAATCTTGATACATAATTAGTCCTGTCAATTCGAAGAAGAAGAAGAAGAAGAAGAATAGTCTTTGCTATCTCTTTCTCCGACTTAGAAGTTAGAACGGTTGTATTTCTATAACGTAGCAAGAAGCCAATAGCCTCTTGAGTCTAGTCTAGGTTGAACACACTGGTCAAAGCGTCTTCTTCCAGCACTAGGTTTCATAGACTCCATCTTCAACGGTCTCCTCTATTTTCTCTCTCATTTTCCTGTCTAAGCTTGGAAGGGAATTTTCCTGCCTCGATCCCGAGATATGCTAGGGATTGCACATGGTAGCTGAAAGTAGCGATACCATAATATATAAAAGTTAATTGAGGCTCATACATAATACATCAGATAATCATTGAAAATGAAATCACAAAGAAAAGGGAAACAAACCCTTGTCTCTAGTGCACTGCACACACCTACACCCATGAGAACTTCTCTAACAACTTTGCAAAACAACCCTGCACCGAGGAATAGCGCATTGGACAAAGTAAAACCCGGATAAGCTGTGAAACTCGTGTGAATGACAATAATACGACATATGTGATTTAAACCATATTTCACAATCCTTTATATATATAAAATAATAATCATCACTCATAAATCTCGATTGCATCCGCATATGCATCCAACCATCAGTTTCATGCATCCAATCATCAGTTTTATGAGTCCAATCATCAATTTCATACATATATATAATAAAGTAACAGGTCTAGATCACATAGTTCCGCGTTCCAAAACCTTTCAGGGAATTCGACAAGATGTAGGGTTCCAGAATCTCTCATGGAACCGAACAAATGTAGCGTGGTTGGCACTATTTATTTATAACGTTAATGTCGTAATATGGCTTGGCATAATGAATATTCATGAATTGCATTGACTTGGCATGATTATACAGACGTCCAACTTATTAAATTACTATTTTATTAGCCTTGTTTTGCACTTTCGTATGAATTTAAACTCGGCTTATGAAGCATTTGCAATAATTGAGCTTTGAGATACAATTGGACTTGTAGGTGAGAATTTTGGCCTCTTAACACATATTAAAGAAAAAGTACATCAAGGTAGTTTAGGAATCATGTGGGGAGAAAAGATCAATTTTATTTTTCAAGTTTTATTAGTGAGATTAGCAACGCTCTTAACAAAACAACCATAACATCACATGCTACATAAATAAGTTATGTCCCTCTCTGAAATAAATAAAAAACTTAGTCTCTCTCCAGAATAGTCTTATAATTTGAATAAATGTGTAATTTATCCTATCAGAAGAAGAAGAAGAAGAAGTCATGTTGATCTTTACCGAACTCGGTTTGATAATTATAATTTAAGTTTTTCTTTACCGAACTCGGTTTGATAATTATAGTCAATTCAGAGAAGAAGAAGAAGAATGGTCTCCTCCTTTTAGGGGGCCTGCAATGTCGCGCGGTGTGCAATTTACTCTCCTCCTTTAGGGACGACTACAAACGAACCGACTTCACTTGGCGGGTCATCTGTATTATAAAGCAACTAACAAGCGGGAAACTTCATACTGCAACCACAACTTTCTCAAGTCATGTTGATCACATCCTACTCAATGCCTTTTACGGTAGGCTTTGTCCTTGCCATGGCATTTGTTGTTGCTCAAGCACAACAAATGAATATCAGCCGCGGATCTTCCTTAACGCCGACTACCAACTCCTCGTGGTTGTCACGTTCTGGTGTATACGCCTTTGGATTTTACAAGCAAGGAAATGGCTATGCTGTGGGGATATTTCTTGCTGGAATCCCCCAAACAACTATAGTGTGGACTGCGAAGCGAGACGACTCTCCACTCCCCACCAATGTTACTTTGGACTTCACAAGTGATGGGTTTTCCTTGAAACCAACACCAGGCCAAAGTTTCGTCATAGAGTATACCTCTGGTTCTTCGGCTTCCATGCTTGATTCGGGCAATTTTGTGATATACAATGCTCGTCAAGACATAGTATGGCAAAGTTTTGAGCACCCGACTGACACCCTTTTGCCGGGTCAGATCCTGTTTGCTGAGGACGAGCTGTTCTCTGCTAAATCAGAATCTGATCACTCAACTGGCATTTTCCGCCTCAAAATGCAAGCCGATGGAAACCTTGTCCAATACCCTGTAAATACTCCAGACATAGCTCAATATGCCTACTATTCATCTGGAACGGATGGCAGAGGAATGAACGTGACACTTAATTTTGGTGCTGATGGCCATCTCTACTTGCTAAATGATACCAGATCGAATATCAGGAATATAACAAATGGAGGTCTTCCTGCTGATCAAGCAACAATTTATCTTATGAGAATTGATGCAGATGGAATATTTCGATTGTATTCACATGATTTGAATCACAAAGGGAGCAGGTCAATGGTATGGGAATCTTCCAACGACAAGTGTGACCCTAAAGGTGTATGCGGATTAAATAGTTATTGTGTCTTACTAGATCTTGAAGCTGAGTGTAGATGTCTTCCAGGATTTGTATCTGCCAATCCGAGAAATAAGACTTCAGGCTGTTCAAGGAATTTAGTTGCAGATGGTTGCGAACACAAAAATGAAACTTTAACACACACCATGGAGGAACTGGAAAGCACATGGGAAGACATTTCATATGTGGATTTGACATTATCAGACAAAGAAGCTTGCAAACGAGCCTGTTTGGAGGACTGTAATTGTGAAGCTGCGCTTTTTGATGATACAAGCTGCAGAAAGCAGAGGCTTCCTTTGAGATATGGAAGAAGACAGGTTAATACTTCAAACATAGCTCTCATCAAGGTAGCTAAATCTACAACTACTCCAGACACAAACAGAATTGTGGACAAAGGAAGCAAGAGAAAAGGAAGAACCGACATCCTGATTATTTTGTTTGCAATTTCTGTAGTTGTGCTTTGCACTTGCTGCTTTCGGATCTATTTTGTTTGCAATTTCTGTAGTTCTGCTTTGCAAACATAATGTGTGGGCGTATAAAAGAGTGAATACTCCCATTCGTGACTCTGAATTGAATGAGGACATCGCTCTGCAACCATATACTTATGAAGAGTTAGAGAAGATTACCAACAATTTTACAGAAGAGGTTGGAAGAGGTGCGTCGGGAACAGTTTATAAAGGAGTGATCTTGGCTAGCCAAAAGCCAGTTGCTGTCATGCTTGAAGGAACTGTAGAAATCCCAATCCCTCCCAGTCCTAACTCTATTCTCAGCACCATCTAAAGTCAAGTGAGTGATACATACTTTAGTGATCAGAAAACTGATCAAACCTTACATTTAGTTTATGTAATAAAATTAATAAGCAACATGGCGAGTTTCACCGCAAGCTTCGCTGTCTGTAAGTGTCTGTGTCGTCATGAATGATATGCGTATGGTTTTCAGCTCTATGTAGCCTGCTGCGTTACTAATTGTGCGTTTATTGGATGCAAATAATCTACTTTTGGCGTCCATGCTTTAAAAAAGATGCTATCAGGATGCAGCATCTGGTTCACTTTCTCTTCCATTAAATTCCCAATTATTTTCCTTCTCAATGAATCATCAAATGCTTAAAACAAAACAACTATGAATTCGCATTACTGTCAAAAGAGGTTTATTTGAAAAGAGGCGAAATAACATTTCAAACTTGTACTTTAAACAAACTCTTAAAAACATCCGGTGAGTTAAAGACATATCGCCAAAACTACAAATTAGGATAGTTATAAGTTTAGAAACTTTCACGACCCTGTTAATCCCTTCCACCAGCTGAATCTCAAAAGAATCGAGACTCTGTATATGTAGGGATTCGTTTTTTGAAATCGTGTTTTTCTTCCGTGAAAGGGGACAAATTCTTGATTTATTCATGCTGATTATTTTGAAGGATTTGTTCAATCCATAACTAAATCATTATAAGTATATCATGTTTTTCATCAATCCTTATTCAGGGAAATTGTAGAACGAATGTGATTTGAGATTGTCGCGTGACAACACAAACGGAGAAAATTGAATGAATCGAACTGAAAATCAGAAAGAAGATCACAACTTGAGACAATAAAACGTTCATTTCATTTCATTCCTTTGAAGAGAGAGTACAACAATTTTACAATTCTCAATCAACTAGATATATTGATTATGAAACTGGTTTCCGAAACAAGAAACCCAAAGAATCTGCGTAAAAGAGTGCACTAACAAAGTCACCAATAAACAAAAACATTCATCATCAAACGATGGTCCTCCTCAGTGCTCCGGCAATCCATCGGAGAAGTTATCCCCTGGTAGTTCATCAAAGAAATTATCCCCCAACATTCCATTAACCAAATTAAGCCAAAGATGATTATTACCGGCCATGTCGCATAACAACTGGTCAAGGTCGGGAATTGGACCCAGCTCCTTGGGATGATCCTCCTCCTGCTTTTCAGGAACCACCTTCTTCGACTTGCGCTTCTTTTGACATCCTTGCTATTGTGGGGCTGCTTCATGTTTCCTCTTTTGACCGCGGCCGGGAGTTTGTGTTTTGGAGACGGTGATGCGCATAGGCTTTAGAGAAGGGGCATTGGGAGAACAGAGAGTAAGGACAACTGAACTGTAACTGTAACTGTAAGTACCAACCCTGCTTCATGATCACACTTAAAGACTAAAAAGTGGGTCATTTTTGTTGCTGATTAATCAGTGTGTGTAACAATTAAAATCCTAAATAACAAAAGCAAAGATGAAACTTCCTGCAAATTGAAATTAATCAGCGATTCAGACTTCAGAGAGTTAGTACGATCCAACTCAAGGAACCCAAACAAACAAACAAACAAAGAAAACTGGATGTAATATGAAAGATTGCAAAGTTACCGACGGGCCACCGCAAACCCTAGAAATCAGATCACCAAACTCAGAAACCCTAGAATTCGCCACTGGGAATGATCCTTCCTTTTCCCGCACATCATAGAGCGGTTAAGAGTGCACATTAAACAGAGAGATACAAAAATTACTTGGAAAAAAATGGGTATTCTTCGAGCAATTGGAGAGAGAGAGAGAGAGAGAGAGAGAGAGAGAGAGAAGAGATAGAGATCCGAATTGCAAATAACGATCAGATTTCAGATGAGAAACAGAGAGCAATCCGAATTGCAAACAGCGATCACAGATTTTTCGACCGTTAGGAGTCGTGGGCTTGTGAAATGGGTTAGGTTTTCTAGAGAGAGAGAGAGCGCGCCAAATAGGTTTCCGAAATTTCAACCGTCGGCGCTCTAAGGCGGTCAATTAATTGCTAAAAAAGGAACCCAGCGATTCAAATTTTAGGACAATTATCTAATTCTCGATTTCCCTGAACTTTTTAATTAGAATAATAAGAACTTAAACTAACTTTTTTTGGCTGATTTGCACTGATGTTAATTTTTCATTTATTTCATTCAAATTTCTATTAAATGGAACTATGTGTACAATATGTGAGAGTAGTTCGGTCACTTTATTCTTTAAAATAATTGAAAACTTTAGATTTATAAAATATAAACCTATGCAAATATGTGTAATCATATAGCTTTTGTGTCTCAATGTCTAACGAAGTGATGCTTTTGTCCACAAAGAAGAGTTACTTGGTGTGCACGTGATAAGAGCTAATGTTAATTTGGATAAAATATATGAAAAACTAACGGTAGTGGCGAAATTGGCCAAAAAATTTAGTTGAAGTCCTTAATTTTCCAATTAAAAAGTTCAAGAAGAAATTCGAAAGTTAAGTAATAATTCAGGAGACAAATTAACAATTTAGCCAACCAAAATATGTTAGACCATCATCGATTGAGATGTCAAATTAAAAAACAGTTGGTGTAGGAAATATAATATTTTCAAAGTTTCGCACGAAATGTAAAATTAAAATATTTTCTACATATTTATAAATTAAGCGGGTCATAATTTAATAATAAAATAATTAATAAGCGAACAAAAATGAAGAAATATGTGGACTTAGCTTGATTCTCGATTGTTCCGGATGGGGTCTACGAGTATGTGCCTGACTGGAGCAATTATATGCGCTAATTACGCTTTTATAATTCACATGAAGAAGCACAACGTAGCTTATAATCAACTTGATGGTTGCTCACATTTTCTATGGTATTACTTCTAATTTTTCATTTTTCGTTTTGAGTCACTGACTAATAGAGAAATAACATAAATTTTGAGTTTAGGTTTTATTCTAATTTGACTTTATCACAAGAGTTTAAATCTGAATTTTTTAACACATGTGTTATCTTGCGACTACATTATCACCATGATGGTCATTTATTCGATTAGGCCTTCTGAAGATTTGTTAACTACCAACATGTCGAAGATGCTTAACAATGTATTAGTAATTTTTCTCTAGAGCGAAGACGAATGAAACTCGAGTATAAGAATAGCCATATGATTGAAAAACACACGCATTTGAAGTTCACAAGGTGGTGGACTCCTTTAGGAGAAAGACTTGTATGCAACATTGTTCATTGTCATGCATCTTGATACAATACTGTCATTCCGTGCAATTTACTCTCTTCCATTAGGGGCCCCAATTGTAGATCCCTTCAAAGACAGGAACCTTGAAAAGTCTGGGAGTACTCCAAACGAAACGACTTGACTTGGCGGGTATAATTCCATAGGAAAAACCTGAACTTGTACAGATCAATCGTTTGAAGCATTGATCATTCTAATATTAAAGCAACTCAAAAATGGGAAACTTCATACTGCAACCATAATTTTCTCATCCCAGCTTGACCAGATCTTACTCAATGCATTTTATGGTTTGCTTTGTTCTTGCCATGACACTTCTTGTTGCTTAAGCACAACAAATGCCGTCGAATATCAGTCTCGGATCTTCTTTAACGCCGACTACCAACTCTTGGTGGTTATTGGTCTCTCACTGCTTTTGGATCTATTTTGTCGGCGATTTCTGTAGATGTGTTTTGCGAACATAATGCACGGTCTTGTAGTTTATGCAATAAAACTAATAAGTAAGATGGTGAATTTTAGTGATCAGAAAAATGATTGTGGATGCAAATTTCTTCCTCCTTACTCGTGGACAAAATTGTACCTACAAAACAAATAACCCTCATGCGCCCACGATGATTTTTTTTTTTGGGGGGGGGGGGTGTTGCTTTGGCAGAAGAACCTCTGATGCCAAAGTTAGAATTTTGAGGGAAAAGTGTTTGGAAAATTTAGAGAATTTAGCAAGAGAATTGGAATTGAGTTTTGGAGAGAATGAAGGTGTTTAAAGAGGGGTGTGGCAGGCCCCTTTGGGTGGAGTTGGCCAGCCACTGGGATCACTTTGTGGGCGAAGTTCATGATTTGTGGTTATTTAGCAAATTCATTGGATAATAAATCAATTAATTAGCTAATTAATAGAATAAAAAAGGAATGATTTGGGGGTTACCTTGTGGAAAAGATTTGATGAGGATGGATGAAATAGGTTATAAATAAATACCTATTTTGGGGACTTTTTGACTTGATTAAGGGATGATTGCCTGCTGCTCGCGCATAGAAATCCTAGTGTGCCTCGAGGGTAATTTTGTCTTTTTTACCCAAAAATCCATGTATCGCCTCTTGATTATTTCTTGCTCCACAAATGCCCCCACACTTATTGGGTTGCTCGCAGGAAAGGGCAGCAGGTGTAGAGATCTTCTTGCTTTAGAAAACATAGGATTGTTTCCTATTTTGATGTAGATTCCCTCTTTAATTGGAATCCTTCTAGGAAAGGGCAATAAATCACTTCTAAAGTCTATTAAAGTCTACCTTAAGTAGATGATTAAATCAACTTTAGAGAGCAATTTATTCTACCCTACAAGAAAGAGAAAGCTAGAGGATATTTGTTCCCCTTCGCCTATCAATCTTCTACAATTGCCCACCATCTTTTTTTGCTTTCTCGTTTTCTCTGTGCCGCACCGAGGTAGGAAAAAAATTAATTTTTCTTGTCTTCTTCTTGGATGGTGCTACCGCGTGGCAGTCGTTGGGGTAGTGTGGCATGTAGACTGGCAGGGCTAGGAGTTGGCTCGGCATGGGCCGATGAGGTGTTGTGGCAGGGACCACTGCTTGGGTTGCTCAGTTTGGCTAAAGCCAAGGGCAGCTGTGATGCTGGAGCCACAGATTATGGCGCTGGGGCTGTGGATTGTGGCACTGGGGCGTAGTGCTAGGCAAGTCGCATGGCTCATGTCCTTTTTGGGCTCTTGGACCTGACGCAGGCTAGGCTGGTGATTGAGAAAAATGAGAAGGTCGTAGGCCTCATGGGTTGCTGGAATACTGGGCATGCAGACCTTCTGCCTACTGGTCTGAGAGAAAAAATAAGGGAAAAGCCATCATGGGTTGAGCTTCCCTGCTGAGTACCGTGAATGACATTGGCTACGTAGTCATTTTGCTGGGAGAAATGTGGGATACTCCCAAGAAAAGAGATAAAAATGATTAAGGTAGATGCATTGGCTTGTCTGATCGTTGTCGTGAAGCTTATTATGAATCGAGGTTCTAAAAAACGCTAGGCGCTACTCGGGCGGCCTAAGCGGATTTAGGTAAATTTCTTGTTTATCTTGTAAATAAATGCAAATTAACACTTACAAAAAATTATACTCGTATGAAATTCATGGATAAGATAATAAAAGAATGTTAAAATGCAAAAAAAGTATCCAATAAGTCCAAAATTTAAAAACACATTAAGCATATATGTCATATAACCATAGTGAGGAGTATTGTAGGATGACACATGTACAACAAGTTCACAATTTACAACATAAAGTGGAAAATATGAGGAAAATAAGTAAATTTCGTAATGTAAGATACCCCGATTTTTCCAGCCGTTTTGCACAAAATCGCCTCGATTCCAAGGCACCTAGCACCTAGGCTGCCGCCTAGGGTATTTTTTAGAACACTGTTATGAATGAAGGTGGAAAGAAGAGATCTTCCTCACCTGCTCAAGGGATGCTGGTTGAGAAAAAACTAAAGACTTCCTCCGCTGCTTGTAGGGGTCCACCAGCTGCCGAGAGGCCTGTGATTGACATGACTTCTTCCAATGGGAAGAAAAATGAGGCTACTAGATCTGAGCCTGTGGCACCTGCCATGTCGAGAATGGCTAGTATGATTGCTGATAGGATTGCTCAACGTAGAAGTTCTGTCATGCCCCCAGTGCCGAAGTCTGTACTAAGATGTCCGTTAGGAGCTAAGTTTGGTTCAGCTTTGGAAAGGCTTTCTATTATGAAGAGTGATAAGGTGGACACTGCTGCTAAAATGGCTCCAAGGCCCACTCCCCCAGCTGCTGAGACTGATTCGCCTGCTGGGCAGGAGGAGATTGCTCACGTGGGCAGCTGTGAAAAATTCACTAAGTCTGCTTCTAGGGACGTTGCTGAGATCTATGCGCTTTTGAAACCAAATTTGTTTAAAGACATGGATGCTTGTGCCAAGTTTGTCAATGACGTTAAAGGGGTTGTTTGCCCAAGTTCCTTTATGAAGCATACGATCAAGTATAGGAAGATTGCCCAACTTGCCATGGTGCAGAAGATGACTAGGGCAGGGTTCGGTTCTTAATGGTTTAGTTTTTTGCCAAAACTAAAATCGAACCGAAATTTTAGTTCGGTTTGGTTTGGTTCATTTTTTTCAGTTTTTTTTTTCAGTTCGGTTTATCTGGTTTAGTTTCGGCCTGGTTTCGGTTTTATTTTTTTATTTTTACTCCAGAAAATGAAAAACAACAATCATAACATAAGATAGAAAATATGACTCAGGATTTTGTCATTTAGATACATATGTCAGTGTGTCTATGCATGCTTCGCTATCTCTAATGAAAAGATACATGATCTTTTTCTGTTTGGGGGACCAAAGATTAGATTACATGTTTCCATCTCTCCAGGGATGGGCTCACAGTTTTTCAATATTCATTAGGGAAGTTACTAACTAATCTAAAAACATAAAGTCTCATAAAAGTCTAAAAAAATGAAAAATTTTGAGTCTTCAAAAAGTCGAAATTTAAACATCACACAAGTCAAATAAACCTTCAAGGTTTCATCACTTCATGTCTTGCACAAATAAAATCTTCCAAGTCCCCAAGCTCAAGCTTAACGCCTAGGTGGCCTAGGAGGCAACATAGCACCTTTCTTTGAGCTTCTACTCGCCATTTCTACAAAAAAAAAAAAAAAAAAAAAAAAAAAATGAACATGATGTAAAGCAAGCATGCAACATAGCATCTAATTAAAATAGTCTAACAAAACCAAATGCAATAAGTAAAATTACCTTTCTTAGCTTCTTCACAAAACTCAATCTCCTCAATGGTTGGCTCATGATGTAATGCTACATGAATTGACCTAAGCCAATTTTGTGTACATATCAAAGCTTCCACCATTTTTGGACTCAAAGAACTACGATATGGATCAGTTATTCGTCCACTTGTGCTAAATGAGGATTCCGAAGCAATGGTTGATACGGGAATAGCTAAAATCTTTTTTATAACTCGTGCCAAAATAGGATACTTAGAAAGCCCATTCACCCTCCACCAATTCAAGATATCAAAGTTTGGCTCTTCTTCCCCTTCATTAGGATCCGAAAGAAACCTATCCAAATCATAGTGCACAATACGACTCTCTTTGCTTTTCTCATTTCACTTTTCTCTTTCAACTTTCTTTCAATCTTTGTCATGCTTGATAAAGGATCTCCACTTGTAGTTGTCGATTGAGAACTACCACCACTACTTGTGCTTTGTTGTGTATCAAAAGATAACTCTTCATGAATCATGTAAAGATCAAACAACAAATCTTTCACCGTATTGGTTGCAATTTCAACTTTTTCCTCGTCCTCGCCATATAGCATCTCATAATAACCAACCACCTTCTCCAATTTATGGCGAGGATCAAGCACAAGTGCAACAAAAGCATATTGATTCATATCCTCAATTGAACCCCAATATTTGGCATATTTTTCTTGCGTCAACATGGAGATCATAGACAAGAATTCATTATCTTTGTTTTCAAGGAGGAGACTTTTGATCTTAAACAAATCACCAAAAGTAGTATGAATTGTTGGAATATTAGAAGAACACACTTTTAAAATGACTTTGTAGAAAGGTCTCAAAAAGGACGCAAATATTCCCGCCTCACTCCAATCATAAGTCGAAGGTGGCCCTTCCCTTATATTATCATGATTTTCTTTAGTAAAGTAAGGAAGGTAATGACCATCATTTACTTTCAACCAATCAAAAGCCATCTTGAACTTCAAAACCAATTCCAACATTAAAAATGTAGAATTCCACCTAGTAGGGACATCTAAAATCACAAGCCCTTTGTTTTCTATTCTCACTTTCTCAACACACCTTTTAAAGCTCTCCAACCTTTGAGGGGAAGATCTTACATACCTAACCGCATTACGAATGCCTTGTATGACGGTATTCAACATCTTTATCCCATCATTCACTACCAAATTAAGAATATAAGCAACACACCTCATGTGCAAATATTTTCTATCATGCAAAAGTGCATTAGGAATCCCCCACCCACTTATTCGGTCCACCAAATCCCTTAAGCCGGAATCATTTGCCGAAGCGTTATCAACCGTAATAGTTAACACCTTCTCTATGCCCCACTCCACCAAACACTCCTCCAAAAGTTGAGCAATGGATTCTCCCTTATGATTTGGAATGACACAAAAGTTCAAAATCTTTTTATGTAACATCCAATCATCATCAATAAAATGAGCGGTGAGAACCATGTAATTTGTTTGTTGAATAGAAGTCCATGTATCCGTTGTTAGACACACCCTAAATGTCTTCAACTGACTTTTCAATTTCTCATTTTCGAAGTAAAACAAGCCAAGTACATCTTTAGCTATTGTCTTACGACTAGGTACTCTCCACAAAGGACACACATGCATGCAAAAATGACGAAAACCCTCTCCCTCGACGAATGAAAAAGGTAACTCGTCTATAATTATCATCTCAATGCAAGCCTTAGTAACTTCCACTTGAGAAAAACCTATGGCTTCCAACTTATCTTTTGTGCCGGCAAAGGTTAAGGTCTTTTGCCCATTTGTAGCAAATATTTCCTTATTAGGATCATAGCTCCTACATCTAGCTAAGTGATTTCTTATACTAGTTGTACCATTTTTATCTGTGTTGGCCATAAACGATTTGCTACAATATTTGCATACCCCTTTAACTCTACCTCCCTCAATTGTCCTATCAAAGTGCTCCCAAATTGTAGACCTTTCATGACTTTTTAGTGAATCCAAGAGAGTGTCATCTTTACTTACTTAATCACTTGAGCAACCTTCATTTGGAGTTGCATCGGAGGATTTTTTGGATCCACCATGAGTAAGAGGAGTTTGTTGAGTTGCCACCATGGGGAGTTGAGGTGGAGTTGATTCACCAACAATGTCCTTCAAAAATAGTAGAAAGCATCATTACAATTAATAATTAAATAAATTGAGACTTAAGAACCATAGAGAAAGTATAGAGATGACAACTTACTTGCAATGGAGTAGACGTAGATGAGTTTATTTTTTCACGGGAGCTATTTGATGATCTCATTGAGTTTGAGCTTGAGCTCGAGGCCTTTGATGGACTTGACTTCATCTAATTAAGATACAAAACATATAATAAGCAAAGGTAAGATGCACATGGAAAAGCTACGGATGCAAATAATAAGCAAGGTTTATGACTATAATCATCAAAAGATACAAAACATACAAGATGGATTAAACTAGTTATTTACACTCTCAGACATAATAAACTTTAATCTTTCTGCTGTTAAGGGACAAATAGTTAAAAATCAAAATCAAACATATTTTGGTTCTCTTTGAAGTTTAGCCATTGAGCTCGTATTCCTCGTCATATTACTCGAAAGTATTGACACCTAAATACTAATTAATTTGACATTTGGAAAGTAATCTGCAACTCATAAGTCATAAAGATGCAATCTGCAATCATCCTCTGGTAAAACTTGATTATTTATAATTATTATTATTTTTTTTTTAAACAAACAGATACAAATGAAGACTGAAGTGGAGGCCAAGAGCAAGAACATGCAAATTCCATAACTTATTATTTACTGGTTAATTACAGGTTGCTTAACTGAGAACGAGGAGAACCCTAATATAATTGAGGAAGCTAACCCTGAAGCTACTCTAATAACCCACATCGACACTCCCCCCCCTAAATTCTCTCCATGGACTCGAAAAGGCTCACATTATCTCGAGAAAACCCTAGAGTTAAAGTTGCATAACCAAATATAGCAGCATACCCAAAAGAAATTAATCAAACCTTATGTACTATCACAAATTAATCAAACCTCAACTAATAGTCTAATAGTGTTCAGAAATGAAGTTACCTAACCAAATCCAGCATACCCAAAACAAATTGCAAAACTATGAAATTGAAAAGAAAAAAATCTGCAAAACGCATCAGAGGGTGAGAGACTAACCTTGCAAATGAAGGAATTTGTGGGTCAAGACTCGAGACTTGAAATGGCAACAGGAAGTCATGCCTCGTGGGTCGTGGGTCACCGGTTACGGGGGTGATAGACTAAGAGTGAGACAGTGACGACGAGATGTAAGACAAGTTGCAGGTCGTTGGGAAGGAAGAAGATGAAGTGGAAGAGTGGCGGAGCTAGGAATGAGATGGTCCAGAGTGAGAGTATGTACAGAGTAGAGGGATAAGAGAAATGGAATGGGTTCGGTTCTATTTAGGGTTTCAGACTGAAGAAGGCAGAAGCTACAAATTGGACTGAACGACGTCGCTCAAGGGAAAAAAATAATATTTATTTATAATTAAATATGAAACCACGTCGTTTTGCCTATACTTCGGTTCGGTCCAGTTTTTGAACCCCAAAAACCGAACCGAATTGAATCAGATTTAGTTTGGTCTGGTTTTACACTTTCAGTTTGATTTTTTTCGTTTTTCGATTTTTCGAACCCATCCCTAAAGACGACTATTCTGGCAGCTGAGTCTATGCTCCTTGACCAAAAGGATACCAAGGCTGCCAATGAGGTGGCAAAAGCTGCGGCAGCTAAAGCTTATTCTTCAACCAAGAAGATTAATAGGTTGGAATCTGAGCTCGTTGTTTTGAAAGGGTTTAATATCTCTGCCCCCACTTCTCTGCAGCTTGAGACCGCTCGCTAAGAGATCGTTGACTTGAAGAATAGGCTTGATGCTATCCAACTTAAGTATGAAAGTGTCGAGAAGGATATCAAATGTCATATACCTCAGATTCAAGATCTTGAATGTGCCGTTTCTGAGCTTCGTTACGCTGCTTATGCAAAGGATAAAGAGTTAATTGCTACTTATAACCAAATGATCCACTCTAAAAAGGTCATTGATAGGCTTGAACCCCAAGTGTTGGAACTCCAAGGTGCACTAAAGATCAACAAAAGTTTAAAGAAAGAAGTGGATGAGTTGCAGTACGTCCGTGTTGGTTTGATCGAGGAGATCGGATAGCTAAAAGGTGAAAAGGCTAGGCTCGAGACTCCGCTTGTTTAGAGTCAAGCCGATTTTTACAAGTTGAGATATGTAGATCATCTCATTGGTAGGCCGTCTGACTTCTAGTTTGCTGTGGGAGACTTCAAAACCTTCTCTATTTCTTCGAAATACTTGATTGCCTTTACTTTTGCGACCTCTATTGGTGAAGTGGTCGGAGATGTTGGTGCTAAGGTTGGAGCAGCTAGGGGTGAAGCGCCAGATGGTGCCGCTGCTGAGAATGTCTTGATCGTTGAAGGTGTGGCGACCGAGTAGTCGTGAAGTGCCCAAGCTGCTGAAGAGTAGTATTCTTTGTAATCTTTAGGATTTTCTTTGTTTCCCTCGTTACTTTTTATTTGCTTGAACTCTGTCGGTCTTTGCTAGTTGTTTATCAATTTTGCTAGAAAAATTAATAAACTTTATTCCTTCGCTTTTCTCCATCTTCGCTTCTTTTGTTCATGCCCTAACTTTTAGACTTTATAAATCAATAGTAGGTGTGCTACTTTTTTATAAGCAGATAGGTTTGTGTAGCTGATGCAGCCGTAAGTGTTGGTGTAGAACTTTGCAAAGTTGTTAGCCATAGGGTCAGCAGCCGGACGCCTTACTTACAGAAACAGACAAGTTCGTGTGACCACTAGGCTATTAACCTTGGCTTTCTCTAATTTCATAGGTTGCATAGCAAGTATCACAACACTTTAGGACTTGGTGCAGGCCGTTTCGCGCTTGGCAGAGGTGAAGCTTATCGACTACGTAGCATGTCGGCAGTGAATAAAGCTTCGTATATACACGCTAGCTTGTTTAACCTTTCACAAGAATGCGTGTTTGTATAAGTCTAGCATGGCTTTACTGCTTGAAAGGCAAGCCGTAGGCAGTCTTCTGGAAACCGTAGGCTACCTTAGTGCACTCGGTAGCAACTTTAGGGTTCCAGGATAGTTGTCAGTAGGACGTACTACGTTATGTGCCCCCTTTGTCTCTGGGGCCCGGTTTCTTGCAGATTAGGCCAAGGGACCCAAAATCCTTCACCTAGCTAAGCCTTGAAAAAGGCCATTGTGGCTACTTCTAGGAATCTCAACGCAAGCCATCATGCACCTAGTTATACTAGGGCAGCCCGACTTATCCACGTCTGGATATTCGGAGTGTAAAGTTTATCATCTCGCCTTGGAGAGCAAACCCATGTGGGTGTCGGGGAATTGGTTTACCCTCTCGCATTAAAGAGCAACTAGTTTATCCCCTCGCACTGGAGAGCAGACCCAGTTAGGTGTTGGGGAATTGGTTTATCATCCCGCACTAGAGAGTATGGTTAGTCCCTCGAGGAGGGCACAATTCCTATGATGAGTCCCTAAGAAGGGCGCAGTCTTCTTTTAAAATGGAGGAATGATCAGTTGCTGTAAGCATGAAGTCGAGCCAAGTTATAGATTACTTATGAATTCCTTATTGAAAAACAAGTGGAACGAACGAGAACTTAAATGTAAGGTAGGAACTGCATAATAACTGGATAATCCTCGGCTTGAGAGGTGGTACCTGTCGAGTTGCTTGAGTCTTCGGGCTTTGATGTAGCGGAAGGTCACACATGGTACTTCCTCAAATTGTAGGTGTTCCACTGCTTTTCGATCTCTTTGTAATTCATGGTGGCGATGGTGTAATTACTTTTGCCGTTTACTTTACTGATCTTGTACGGATTTTCCCAAATGAGATCCATCTTTTTGGAGCCTTCTCTAAGGACAGTGATGAAGGCTTTTCTTAGGACTAGATCTCCGGGCTGGAATTCCTGGATCTTGCCACTTTTGTTGTAGTTAGAGAAGAGCTGCTGCTGGTAGGCTGCGATGCGGGTGATAGTCTGCTCGCACTTCTCCTCTGCCAGATATATGTTTGTAGTCATCTGCTTACTTTTTTGCTCAATACTTGGCAGTAGAGTGCTAATAGGAATAATGTTTGCTTCTGAACCAAATGCCAAAGAAAAATGAGTCTCACCAGTTGCTCGTCTTTTGGTGGTGCGATATGCCTATAGACATTTGGCGAGTTCATCTGGCCATTTTCCCTTCTTGTCAGAGAGGGATTTCTTAAGGTAGTCGAGGATCGTCTTGAGGTGGTCGAGGATAGTCTTGTTGAAGATATCTCGACGTGGAGATGTGTTGCTTGATGCCATACTTTTGGAAAAACTTCACTAGACCTTTGCCCACGAACTGTGGGCCGTTGTCGGTGATGATGGATTAAAGGATGCTAAATTAATAAATGACGTTCCTTCATATGAAGCGCTCTA